GTTCACTTTCTCTGAGCTGGGGGCAGCTCTGCTCTTTGACGCTGGGGGCTGTGGTACAGCTGCCGATTTTAACAATCTTGAAGTTAAAAGAAAGACACAAACCTAAAAGGGCATGAAGAAAAGACCAACACATTTAACCACATAAAATTTAAACCTTTTATATTATTGAAGTTTTAAAGCCAAAGAAAAAGCTCATGCCTTAGAAAAACACTTCCTGAGGTATATTAAAGGCAGAATTAATTTATTTAATGTTTTTAAGTACACTTGCAAATAAAAGACTAACAAGTCAAAATATATGAATAGGTAATTTGCTAAAAACAGGTATTATAGATACGTGCAGCTTCACTTATTAAAGTCATGAGATAAATCAATAATTCAATCTTTTTCACTTGTCAAATCAAGGACAGTTGTTGTGATAATGTTGCCAAAGTGGTGGACAAAAAATCATTCTTACACATCACTGATGTGAAAGAGATTAGATGCAACATCTTTGGAGGCCTACTGACAATATCTATTATATTAGAAAAATTGTGTATATGTACTTTGGGCAGCGATTGTGCTTCTATAAATGTAGCCTACAAATGTATACAAAAAGCCCATCAAGGCTATTTGAAGTACGATTGTTGGTAATAGCAGGTAATTAAACCATTTTTCAAAGCTCATCAATAGTTTTTTTTTTTTGGTGTGTGTATGCGTGTGTGTGTGTGTGATACTGACACAATGAAAGACAAAAGCACTACAGTATTTAAAATAATTAGACTGTATGTGATGGAATAAACAGAAAGACACTAGAGTTATATAGAAAGGGCTTAGTTATCTATGCTCCTACAGGAATGATAGTATTGTCACCAGATTGGGTCTGTGAGGTTCCTGAGGCCGAAATAACTTATCCCACCCTTTTAAAATAAGTTTGCAGGTTTGCTGACTCTTGTCACAGAAAAAAAATTTTCAGGATGCACCAGTAAAAGAGAGTTGAAAAGGTTTCACGTGGACACGCTCCATTCTTGAGTGTGGGTGCTCAGAGCAATGAGAACACATTACAAGTGGGAGTAGGGGACAGTTAGAGGGGTGTTTTCCAGGTGGGGGATGGAGGATCTGCAGTCACACTGTCAGGATACACTGTGAGCCATCTATATACATTTGAAGTTGAGATACGTTGTTTGAAGTTAAGATTATGGAAAGGCTTATGGAAAGGCAGTTTCTAGGTGAAAAGCACAGGTCTAGTGCTGGGAATTTATAGGCTATTGTAAAAAGACGTTTCAGAATTTTCCTTTTTAGAGTGAGTTTCCTGAAAGAGAAAAGGCTTGTCTTCAAGTTGTATTTGTTCTTAAAAGTATAATTTTAAAAATCTCAATTTTTTTGTCTCTTCTTTTTACCCACTTAAAAATTTTTTTAACCCTATCTTAGCATGTTTCTCTTGCTGTTGAAAAGGAAAACACATGCACAGAGAAAAATCTCTTAAAGGAGCCACAGGGATTTATAATGGTGGTTGCTTGGTGGGAATGGAATTAAAATTTGAAATGGAAAAGTGGCCCTGTTTTTATCAAATAATTATACCTTTTAAAAATGACTTGTAAAAAAAATGATTTGTAACTTTTAGTTTTCAGTGGGCCATATATTCTACTTCTGGCTTACTTTGTCTCATATTGAAAGCCACATGTTCCATCGTCCCTAGAAATATTTACATAAATGGCAAGATGTACTGTTCTCAGTAGATGCGTACCTGCTTATGATTTGGTACTTACTAAAGCTCAAGTTGATTTTTTAGGAAAAGATAAAATATTTTTACTTCAAAAGTAAAAAATAAAAATAGATTTTTTTCTTTATCTTCTAGAGTGTGTTTCTCCCACTTTCCAAGGGGCAGGGTATTATTCCAAACTCTGACAGGATTTCCTCCTTTCTTTCAACACTGTTTATTGCAGACTCCTGAGCCTGGGAGATGGCAAGAGAAGTCAAAGAAAAGAAATCAGAGCACCAGCATTGGGTCTCAGAAGCAGCATATTTGTATTAGAGAAAAACTTGGAAAAACTTGATTTGGTTCTTGTAATTCCAAAATGCAAGAGAAAGAAATCACTTGTCACTATTGACTCCACTGCTGGGTTAAGTAGTTATACAGTAAGAATGATATTAAGACAACTTCAAAAATAAAAGTAGTAGTTAAGAGCTAAGTCCAGAATCAGAAAGATTTGCTTTTAGGCATTTCTTATATTCCTATAATACTGCTGGATTTCTGCTGAAAAGAATTCATATCTGTCTCACTGTCTCTTTCTCTCTTTCTGTTTCTCTCTCTCCCTCTCTCTCTACTAACTGGTGATTCTGTTCTTGGACATTTAAGAAGAGGTTGTCAGGATTAAGTATGAGATTCTCCCAGTCACTTTATGTTATACTACTTATCACTGGCTTTCTGCATGTTTTATTGTTACATGTGAAAATGACTTTAGGTGTTATAGTACTGGACTAGAGTTGGTTCTTTTTTTCAACTGAATATATATATATATATATATATATATATACACATTAAATAAGATGAATAACTCTAAAATTTTAGGGCTGTCACTTTTCTGAGATCTGACATTTGGGAGGACACATTAATTTAGGCAGTTTTGCTAGTCTACATTTACCAGGAACCTGACATAGATTCCTTTGTCATTTTCAATAAAGTTTAAAGTGGTTATAAAAGGACATGGTTCACGAAATGGATTAATGTCACAATGAAACTTCATGCTTTCTAGGTACTCAGTGTATGCTTGCAAATTCAAAATGCCATCACAGCATTCTAGGCTCGGCTGCTAGTGGAAAAATCACAGTGAGCTATTTGTTCAAGGTCAAATCTTGGACTTGTAAATACATACCGGTCAGTTTTTTTTTTTTAACCTATGGTAAATAATACATAACTTAGACTCATATAATGTGTGTAAAGAAGCTATTGCATTGGTTATTTCAGTATGAAACTCTGGAGAAAATGTGTAGAAGTAGTTGTAATTTTATCATAACGCATGGTAAGAAATAAGCTAACAATTACATATCTACACACATATAAAACTAAAACAAAATTTCAGAGGTAACTGATCTTACCTCATTTAAGGCCTTTCTAGTATGATCTTTTCTGTTCTATTTTTTAAAATTTATGACTGCTAAATTTATTTAAAAACTCAATAATGAGTCTTGACTCACAGTTCAAAAACTGCTGCCTTAGTGGACCCAAATCTCACATTGCTCATATTTCGCAAAAGCCGTCCTTTAGCTCTTGGGTGTCCTTATAGCTTGGTTTGATTTATTTGCTGAGAATCCATTTGAGCTAGATTCTGTGGGAACTGTAAAGATTTTTGCCTCCACCTATCTGAATCTCAAATACTCTAAGGTTGCAGGAAAACCAGGGTAAGTGAAATGACATCCAACCCCTCCCCCCATGGAGCTTATGTTATCCTGGATGAAATGAACTCTAAATTCAAAGGAGCTTTGGAGGATCAGGCATTCACTAGAATATGAAAGCAAGTAAACTGCTTTATTAGCACTCTCTGAGTAAAGGTATTCTTTTTTTTATCTTGAGTAAAGGTATTCTTATAGAGGTGCGTCAGTTCCATTTTAACAGATGAGCAAACAGAGATACAGAGACTATTTTATCTCGTCACATTGTTATTTTTGAGTGTAAACCCAGATTTATTCATAAAATATCACCTCACATGATTGAGTGGGTTTGTGCTAGAAATAAAGTGATCTGTTAGATCGGAAGAGTTGGTGATGAAGTCATATTATAAAAATACTTGACACTTAGAAAACTAGGAAAGACCTCAGGTCTCCTTACCATTTCTCTTTCCTTAAGGGGGAATTAATCTAATTATTCTCTTAAAAAGAGACAAAATTTGTTTATTAATGAGATGAGTGGTTCATTCTAGTGTTTCAAGATATTTTCGGAATAAACTCTTAACATCCTTCATTTTGTATTTACCCATCTAATCCTTTTTTCAAAACCTGGAAATAAAATTAAACATTTTATCAAGGTCATCAGGGCCAGGAACCAAACAAGGATCGTCACTTGCTAGAGAGAGTCTGCATTTTGTTCCTCTCCTCACCATGCATTTCATGAGCACGATTCCAAGGGAATATGCAATCTATAAATTACACACACCTGCAGCTTTGCACTGCTAGAGGTTGCCAAGGCCCACGTGCAAGGCCATCCCATTTTCAAGGCACTCTTCAGCGAACTTCACTCATGTGCACACCCTCATCCAGGGCTGTCTGCTCTGGGAGATAATCTTGTTGGGCAGACTTCTGAGTGTACTAGTTTCCTACTTGGGGAAAACTGAAATTATTCATATACAAAGGGTGATTGTGGGAACAAAATGGGCAAAGAGATTTTTTTTTTGTACCAGGGATCGAACTCAGGACCTTGCACTTGCCAGGCAGGTGGTAGAACCACTGAGCTAAGTCTCCGGCCCTGAAGAGATTATTTTTAAAGTGCTCACTTAAGTCAAGCTATGTGCCCCTTGGACTGGATCTCTTTCCATGATTGCTACGTTCGGAGAAGTTTTCCTGATCTTGCTGCTTACGGCAAGTCACTTGTACCATGTTCTTAAAGCTCCATGATGTCTACTTAACATTCAGCAGTTTTAATTTCTACTTATTTTTGACTATTTAATTTATGAAGGTCTCTCTCTTTATAAAGCCCTCACTAGACTCCAGGCTTAACAAAGATATTATTTTTTTACTCTATTATTATTGTCTCCTCAGCCTTAGCACTGTGATCAACTCATAAGTATTCAATATACCTTTATTAAATAAATAAACTGGCATTTGAAGGTCATCTTGAATGTTATTTTAAACAGAGTGACTCAGCCAAGCTCACCTTCCATCTTTCCCTCCCTCTTTCTTCTCCTTTCTTTCTTCCTTTCCTCCCTCCCTGTCCCCCCTTCTTGTCCTGAGGACTTTATGTATTGATTAGCTACTAAAGAGCAATTGATAATCATTCATAATGTTGTTCTTTTTTTATTATCTTTCAGTCAACTTTGACCACTTTGAAATTTTGCGAGCCATCGGAAAAGGCAGTTTTGGGAAGGTGAGAATCACAGTTATGTAGCTCCAGAACAGAGGACCTGAGAGTGTTCTGATTACTGAGTTTCTGGGACCACAAGGGCCAGTTGACATTTCAGAATCATTTTCAAATTGTGCCACCTGTATATCCAATGATCGTTATCTTTTCAATATAAGAATAATTCTTTTCACATGGGAAAGAAGACCCCTAGTTTCAATTTCCTTTTCCCAGGTAGTATTGTGTACTTCTAAAAGCTTACCATGAAAAATATACATAGCCAGATTTTTGGTAAGAAATTTTCTGACTCAAACTCTGATTATTAGCTGTTCAGTGGAGACATACCCTAAGAGAGCATATGTCATGCGAATTTGTATTTTACTCCATCAGGAATTATATGGACTTCTAATGGAATTTTAAAAGCATGGACTGCAGTATGTAAAGGTACAATTCCCAATGAGAATGTAGTTGTGTTGTATACCTACAATGTACCAATAAAAGAATTGAAAAAAAAAAAAAGAAACTGAGGGAATTGACCATAACACCCAAGTTAGGAATCAGGCAGTTACATCTTTGAGTTATCGTGACTGTAAGGAGATTGGGAAGACCTTTGAGATTTCTGAGCCTTTGATTCCTCCAGCTCAGAGCAGGCAGAGGCTGAGTGCTTGATGCCAGCTGAAGGACTAGGATAGTGAAACCAAAAAGGAAAGCAGCATGTATTGCATATATTGTATGATTAAACATTTTTAAAGACAAGTTGTTTTTAGTAAAATGTAGCTTTTAATAGTTAATAAAATTTGTCATGGTTGTCTTTGAGTAAAAAAAATTTAAAAATTAAAAAAAAAAAGCATGGACATCATATTTGGCTCTCCCTAGTGCCCAGGGTCCATTTCATCATATCACCCATGGTTATGAACAGAATCTCTGCCCCAAGTTTTTCACCTTGACAATTTGGTTATGTCCATTGCAGTCACTTGCCATAGGATTAAGGATGTTACTTAAGGATTCCTGACACATAGGCAGGTTTAAATGCTGTCTTAAAAAAAATCCCAGAAGCAAAACCACACACACATGTTTCAAAAACAGAGGTTCAAGAATTGACATAGTACATGGGGAAGAAAATGAAAATTTTACTCCAAAATCAGAGCTGAGTGAAAATAAAGAAGCCAAGCTCTGCTAAAGACCAAGTCCTATTTGTCTCCCAGCTATGATTTGGCATCTCTCTAATCCCTTTTTTACTTGGGTTTGCATCATTAGGTCTGCATTGTACAGAAGAATGATACCAAGAAGATGTATGCCATGAAGTATATGAATAAACAAAAATGTGTGGAGCGAAATGAAGTGAGGAATGTCTTCAAGGAGCTTCAGATCATGCAGGGCCTGGAGCACCCTTTCCTGGTGAATCTGTGGTAAGTGATTTGACTGGACCTCTGAGAGGAGCCAGTCTTGTCTGTGTCCTCAAACACCATAACAAAAATGCATCTTAATTTCCTGGTGTGCCTTTGCAGAATACTCATTAGGGTCTTCCTCAAAGGTTTTTGATCTCCTGGATTTCCTTGGAGACCAATAAAAAGCAATGTACCTTGGTTCATTCATCACAGTTCCCCTTGTCCTATGTTTTTAAAGCATTACAACTAAATAGGCTGAAAAGGAGTAAGTCAGATGCCTTATCACTCATTAGATACTTTTTCTCATAAACTGTGCAGCAGGGACTTTAGGTGCAGAGTATTGCCTCAGTGGTTAATATGGGGTTGATGTTTAAAATTTGTACAAAGCAGTTTCTCCTTAAAATAGGTAACAATAAAACTGATTTCTTTGTAGCATACTTAAGCAACTACAGGTTCACCTGTGACTTGACAAAGGATATGTGCTTCTTTTCTCATCCAATAGGTCTGAACAGAAGTGGAGCTAATTTATGTCAGTAGCTAGACAACAACCTACTGTGATCTGTTCTCAAACACATTACCATAATTCCAGGCTTAGAAAATGGCAAAGAAGCTTACCATATCTGTTACCTTCTGCTCTTTTTTGTGTGTGTCTAGGTCTTTATGTTTTTTCTTGATTTTAATGTATCCATTATATTAAGAGACAGTTCTTAAAGCTAATTCAGTATGAGTGTTATTTAAATATGCATACCAAGCAGTTCTTACTTACCAGCAAAGGCAAAAAAAGGGTTTTTATCCAGAGAATGCTAATGGAGAAATAATTGAGATCACTGTGTGTTTAGAGACATCCTTCTGGAAGAATCAGTGCATAAGACTTGCCTCAATCCATCTTTAATTAATACAGCTTACTTAATATACAATTCACTCAAAGCCTCTATGCCACAGTAGAAAAGAAGATGGGTCTGTGTGACTTGGAAATAGATCTATTATAGTTTATGCACTATTCAGACATGGTAAGAATCTAATTCTGGCTCAGCCTCAGTGTTTTTAATCAGCATTTTAGAGTAGCCTATTCAAAATACTGCCATGTAAAAAGTTAAAATGGATACAGCTCTGTCTTCCTTAAAATTATCATCAAATCATCTTTTCACCTCTCTCCCTGAACCCTCACAATGACAATGTGCTGTCACATCACAGCCTTCCTTTGTTCAAAGTCATATTTCCTTTTTTAAAAGTTCAGCCAATTACCTTTTAAGGCCAAGAACTCTTCATAAGAATATACATAGCATTGTTCCCTTTTGTGTTTGTCTCTCATTGTAATGTGGCCAAAGCTGATTTCATTCTATTCCTGTGTTCTTAAAACATTAGGTATTTGAGACTTTAAGATGGGCAAAGTTTAGAAATTTTATTTGCAACTTTGGTGTCATACCAGACAATATTCTGTTTTCCATGTGTGCTAATACCATCACACACACACACACACACACACACACACATTCTTGTTTACATTTCTCATACTTGATATCCTAGTGAAACATTGGACACCTTAAGCATTTTCCTCCTTGCACCATGAAGGTAGAGAATTCTGAATATATTCATCACTAATGGGCCAGAGTGGACCTCCCAGAAGACAAATTTGAAGGATGCTTAGTTCCAAAGTATCATAGGAAATTGTATGAAAGGGGTCTTCATTTCATTCTCTATTATAGCTTCTGTTGTTTGTTTTGTTTCCCACCCTCATTCTGCAAATTAAACATTCTCCAATATATTATACACAGTTTAGCCAATTCTTTTTTTTACTTTTATATTATTAATTTTATTGGTACATTTTAGGTATACAATATAATGACATTCATCATTGGGAATTTGCACCTTTACATTCTCTATCTTGGCTCTTATTTTTTTCCCCATTCTTATGTCTTGGACTTAACTTACATTTACCTTTACAGCCCCAAAGCTTGGAGTGGATTTTCTTAAGGAACATTGTATAATTTATGAAACAACAGCCATATGATTTTACCACCTGCCTGCTTTGTGTGCTCTATTTTACAGACCTGCTTTATAGGCCCCTCCATATTGCTTTGGACAATCTTTGCATCTGTGCTCAAAATGCCCCCAACCTCAGAGCTCTGGGATGTGTTTAAAAAATTCAAGTTTCAGTCTGGGGGAAAACATAAATTCTCTTTTAAGCAGGCCTTATACTAATGTTGAGAAGAGCATCTGTGTGTGTGTGTGTGTGTGTGTGTGTGTGTGTATGTATGTGTATGACATTTTAAAACTTTTTTGCTCATTTTAATCAATTTGAAAATAAGAAAATATCTCATAGGAAAATGAAAATTCTTCAACAAATCATACAGCCTTGAAGCAATGACTCCTAATATATTGGTGTGTGTTTTAATGTCTGCATACTGTTTTCTGATTTTAATCATGCATTAGTCCTATCCATTCTTTTCATTTGTGTGTGTGTGTGTGTGTGTGTGTGTGTATAATCTACTGAGCATCAAAAATAAGTTATAGTTCAGGGTTGCCCTTTAAAATACAGGATGAACAGTTATATCTGAAATTCAGGTAAAAATAGCCAATTATTTTTAGCTTATGTGCCAAGTGTCACACAAAACATGTTTTTACTGAGGATCATTCATTATTTATGTGAATTTTAGATTCAACTGGGTCTCTTGTAGGATTATTTGTTAAACCCAGGCAATCTAACAGAGACCCGTAGTGTAAGGGTACAGTGGTGAGCAGGAGTAGACAGAGACTTGCTTCCCCCTGTATCATCATTTAGTGGGAGAGACCAACCTTAATTGAATGGCACATGGGTGGGTGTGTAAGGTGTGGACATACACCAAAGGAAGATATGCACAGGACCGTGTGTTGAGAGATTGCGTGTTTTAAAGAAAGAAGTTCACCAGTGTGCAGGGGTATAAAAAAGGGAAGAACATATACAATTAAAATCCAGCCACGCCAGATCCACAGACCTGGGCCAGCTCAGGAACACAGTGTTCAGATCTAGGCCATGTTATCAAGCGAAGGCTGCCAGACAGGGCTGGAATCCAGGAAGAGTAAATCAAATCTTCCTCTGAGTCCCTTCCCAAGGGCTGTTAACAAAGCCCTGGCAACCCACAGCCTGAAAACAAGTCTGCCCCAGTGATTCCCAGCACAGCCAGGGCCCCAGGTGGCTTTTAATTGAGATTAAGCCTGCAGCTGCACAGGACTCCTCGGGGCCTCTCTCTGCTTACCTGTGTGCCTGGTCCCTGTGAGCAGAAGGGCTCCATGCATGGCTTCCGTAAATTAAAAGACAAGATCAGCCGTCTGAAGTGGAAGTATAATAAGCCTCTCATATGGCTGAGCATAACTCCAGAAATGAGTTCCCTGCAGGCAGAACTGCATCATTTGTACTCAGTGCCTGCATTTCTTCATGGAATCATACACTGTGATAACTCAGATGGCCTTAGAGCCACAGTATCAATAGTAGTAGCTTCCAAGAAGAGCATCCCGGTACTGTGGGTTTTACACATATTATACCCTTAATTTGTCCTAAGAAATTTAGTTGATAGGGATTGTTGTTCCCATTCTACAACTGGAGAAACTGAGGCTCAAGGAGGCTCAGAGGTTTCCCCAGTTTCATAGAGAGCAACTGACAGCCAGGACTCAAGTCCAAGAATCCTGACTTCAGAGCCGCTGCTCTTCTTTCTGCACTAGGAGTCAAAGACATCTTTGTGACTTCTTTACGAATATGAGGAAGCAGAATTTATTTTGTTTATTGTCATTCATACCCCACAAGAACATAAACCCCATGAAGCAGCTATATCTATGTTTTTCTTGGTTTTATTCCCCATCTCTCACAATAGTGCCTAGCACACCTGAAGTGCTTAATAAATAATTGTTGGATAAAGAATAGTTAGTGGTGAGAGGAGGACTGTGCCTCCTGGTAATTGTCCTTTTTCTGTAATGCCTTCATCCCCTTTTGTTTACTCACAAATGCACCCCCATATCATCAGGCCCACTTCCGTTTCTTTGCAGACCCTGCAGTCAGAAGCATATGAGTTTAAAATCCCTGCTCTGCCATATGGTAACTGTAGATTAGGCCTATTAACATTGGGTGTTTTACTTGGTTTCCTCATCTATAACTGGAATAATGGCAATATTCAAGTCATAAAGTGTTACCATAAATACTAAAAATATGTGTGTTAAGTACCTCCCAAAGCTGGTGCTTAGTAAATGATGACTTTAAAAAAAAAAACCTAAGTTAGGCCCCTCCCAGAATGTTTCCTCTGCCCCTTCACTAGAGAAGACTTAGTTCTCAGGATTCTGTGGACTGGGCCGCCAATTTTGATCTGAGCCAACTTAGTTAAAGCTATGTGCGATATGTGAGTCCGCCTTGCAAAATCAGCCACCAGTCTTATTGAAGACAAGGACCTGGACCAATCCTTCTCTTCTGCTGTGAGGCCAGCCTTGTCTTCACATGGGTGGAAAAGGTCCCTACAGCAAAAGGAGGACAAGCTTCATGAGTAAGTACTCTTCCAGCCTCTGCCTATGTCATATTGTCTAATATTTCACTGGCCAGAGCAAGTCATAAAGCTGAGTTCAGATTCAAGGAGAGGAGAAACAGGCTTCATCTCTGATAGAATGCATGGCAAAGTCAAAATTCACAAAAGGCATGGCAGGAATCACTCTGGCCAGTTCTAAGAACAATTATATGAAATATACATGATCTCAAACTATGATTTTGGTTTATTTATTATTTAATGTTTATTAGTGTATGTTTGAAATACATAATATTTACATTCATTTTGGGGATTTGAAACATATAGATAATTCCTTGATCATTTTTGATCCTTTTATCCCTCTCCTTACCTTTTCCTTCCCTCTGGTCACCTTCCCCTTCTCTTTAAAGTCTGCCTCCCTTTAAGAAGTCAACAAAATAATGAATAGCAGAAACTGTAACTGACTGACTGATGGACTAATGAGAGGAAATTAGCTAAGTCTTTGTAATACAGACCTTTAGTTATCATTTACTCATC